GTCCGCCGGTCCTTGTCCCTCTCTGCAGCATCTCCATATTGTCACTGTCCTCAAGAACGTGCCGCGGCACCTGCCACCAGCTGCAGCAGCTTCTTCTGCTCGGAGCAGGGAAAGAAGCAGGTTCTGGGTCCCGTCCTTGACTCCGTCCCCTCCGTCAGCTCCCGGTCCCCTGCACGGGCTCCCGGTCCCTTGCACGGGCTCCCGGTCCCTTGCACGGGCTCCCGCTGCACTGGCTCCCAGCAAAGCCCTTGTCCCCGTGCGGCTCTCGGGCACGTCCCCGCGCTGACACCGGCGCTAATTGCTCGCCCAGCTCTTTTAGCAGCTCTCTAAGCTCTGGATGCGAATGTGCTGAATATGAGATGTCTCACTTGTAATAATAGTTATTTAGCATTCCTCTGTCTTGTGACTAATGCTTCTGCTGCCTTTATCTAGTAACAGGCTGTAGCGTCGCTGCTCGTTGTTGCTGCTCTCCCTAATGCACCCGGGTAGATGTTTTGATGGTTTCTCTGTTGTTTGTTTGCTCCCTTTATCCACGCGCCACAATTCCTAGGTGCTGATTTATATTCAGCGTTACAAACGGCTCCTTTCTTCCTCCTCTTGCATATTTGTATTTTTGCGGCTGTTTGCTTATTAGCCGGCTATTCCTCGGCTGCGAACGCCCAGCTCAGCTCGGCATTTTGAGACTTCTCGTAGAACAGCCTTAAACCATCCCCTCTTCCCGGCCACGCTTTGTGCTCAGACCCAGCTGCCTTGGAATCATTTGCTGCTCCGTGCGCTGCCCTTTTCGAGCGGCGAGAATGTTCCTTAGTGCCTGGGGCCTCCTCCTCAACCATAACGGCGCGGAGGGCCCTGCCCCAGGTGGCTCCGGCCTCCTGCTCATCATGACGAGTTTTCCAAGATTTTTTCCAACCCAGAGCTGTCCCGGACAGGCTGGATGAGGCAGCAGCAACAGGAGCTGCACTTAACCAATAGACACTTTGGAAGTGAAGCTTTGGGAAGCCACCAGGACTGGGACATTGTGGGGCTGCTTCCTGGGGGAGCTGGCAGGGAGCCGGGGGCAGGAGCAGCTCCCGTTGGGAGCCGGACAGATGTGCGGATCCAAGACAGATGTGCGGATCCCGGACAGATGTGCGGATCCCGGACAGATGTGCCCAGCCACGCTCAGGCTCTGCTCCTGCCCTGGTCAGCACTGACAGGCTCTGAGCAGGCAGCAAACCAAGGCCTTTTTTTTTTTTTTTAATTGCCAGAATTGTATTAATTTAAAAGGATAAACTCCATCAGCAGGGCTCATTAATTTCTAGCATATGGCTTATTTACACGGATCCCGGCTGCTCCAGCACACGCTTTGCTGTAACTGGAATGTCAATTAAATTCTGAAATGAAAAATCAATGTCTACTGGCTCCTAAAGATGGAATGTGAAGGGGCTTCCTCAGACCTGCCAGCGAGCTCGTGGGGTGGCAGGGCATTCCCGATCCCGTTCCCATTCCCATTTCCGGATGAACTCCTTGCATGCGGAAGGTTGTTGCAGGAGGAAACCCGGGCGAGCCCTGGAGCAGGCAGCACCCGTGCATTACCTGATTGCTCTGGCAACGAGAAAAACAAGGCTGAGCCCTTGGAAAAGAGTGCAAGAAATTACCCATCATTTTCAAACTTTTTTCCTTTCTCTATTATTCAGAATTGTTTTGCTTTTCTGAACTACCTTGTGTAGGTTGTATTAATCCCACAGATTCCAGAATGGGAGATGATGATTCACTGTCAAAATGTAGATTTTTTTTTCTTTTAGAAACGCTGAGGGAGTGAAGTTGTGGTGACACACGCGGAGCGCTGGCACCTCGCGGGCTGGAGCTGGCGGCGCTCCGAGCCCGGCAGCGCCCGGGGGGGCCCTGGCAGCCGCCTGGGATGAGGACCCTGGTGTGAGGCTGATCCCCCTGGGATGATGCTGATATCCCCAGGGTGATGCTGATCCCCCTGGGATGGGGCTGATTCCCAGCAGGACGATGCTGATCCCCTGGGATGATGCTGATATCCCCAGGGTGATGCTGATCCCCTTGGGACGATGCTGATCCCTCTGGGACGATGCTGATCCCCCTTGGATGATGCTGATATCCCCAGGGTGATGCTGATCCCCCTGGGATGAGGCTGATTCCCAGCAGGACGATGCTGATCCCCTGGGATGATGCTGATATCCCCAGGGTGATGCTGATCCCCTTGGGACGATGCTGATCCCTCTGGGACGATGCTGATCCCCCTGGGATGATGCTGATATCCCCAGGGTGATGCTGATCCCCTTGGGATGAGGCTGATTCCCAGCAGGATGATGCTGATCCCCTGGGATGAGGCCGATCCCTTGGGGTGTTGCTGATTCCCGCCAGGACAATGCTGATGTCCCTGGGCAGATGCTGATGCCACCTCCAGGTGATGCTGATCCCCACATCGGGGCGATGCAGGTGGCCCTGGAGGTGACACATGGGCTGTGCCCTCCCCTGCACCACCTGGCAGGGGAGCTTGCTGGTCTGCCCCAGCGTGTAGCTGTGTGCCCATGCAGCCCTGCATGCATGCACCCATGCAGATGTACATGCATGCAGCCATGCATGCGTGCAGCCATGCATGCGTGCAGCCACCCACATGCACAGCCATGCGCCCTGCAGTCTCGCTGCAGGGCCCTGCAGCCGCAGCTCGCTGGTGGAGCTCGCAGCCTGGGGAGGGAGAGGAGGGCGGATGAAGCTCGCTCCATCTCTGCAAGCATCTGGGAGGTGGGTGGAGGGTAAAAAAAGACGAGCCCTGAAGTTTTAGTTCCTGGGAGATATTTAGACATCCTGCTCCCTCAAGGCAGCTTGGTGCCCGGGCGTCGCTGGGGATGTGCTGCAGGCTGCGAGCCCTGGCGCTTCCCAGCTGAGCTTTAACCTTTCCGACTCTCACCGGAATCGCTCTGCAGAGCATTCAGAGCGGGAGGAGCTGCCTCTTCCTGCATGTGGCCCTGGCGCCGGGGACGTGCGGGACTGGCGCTGCCGTGAGCAGGTAGCAGAGGAGCTCACCCCGCGCAGCAGCAAGCGCAGGACGCGGGTTTGGCCGTGCGTTGCAGCAGGGCGTCCCTTCCGCGGGCAGCGCAGGACGGGGTCGAGTCCCGTCCCGGGGGCATCGGCGCCGGCTCCCATCCCCGGCCTCGCCTGGCGCTCCGGGATGGAACAAGAGCCCAGTGCGCAGGGAAGCGCCGTGGAACCGCAGCCAGAGACCCCCGTCCTCGGACCGGGCCTGAGCGGGGACATTCCCAGCCCTGCCCCTGGTGCCAGCCCAAAACGGCCCAAGAGGAAATCACTGCCTTTGCATCACCCGCACAGGCCCCGCACGGGGGACAGGGGCCAGCGGTGCAACGGGCACCAGCGCCCGGGCCTGGGGAGAGCTGCAGGCGGGAGCCGGGTGGCCGGGATGCTCCGGGCCGCATTTACGGGAGCTCCTGCAGTGCCAGGTCCCTTTGCAGTGATGGATGCCCCTGCAGTGCTGGGAGCTGCTGCAGTGCTGGGTCCCTTTGCAGTCATGGATGCCCCTGCAGTGCTGGAGCTGCTGGCGGTGCCGGGTCCCCGCCGCCCCTCGCACACCCCGTGGTGCTGCTGCTGCCACGTGCC